CCTCACATGTTCAATAACATACCTGAGAGGCCAGACAGTCCGAATCACCCGCAAAACTTTGAGGATGTTCAACGTGCTGAACCTTGTTGAGCCCAGCAGGAAAACCAACATGTTGATAAAAGACACAAGTGTGAGCAAAGCATCCAGCAGGTTCCATGGACACCTGAAGTAGGCCTCTTCCTCAAAGTTCAACCCAAATGGGTGGGTATGGGTTAGACATAATATAAAATTACGTTTGAAATTGAAAGAGTACCTGAAATAAAATTCTTGGGAATAATCATTAATGAAAAACTATCTTGGAAGTCACATATACAGTATATCAGACAAAAAAAATATCAAAAATCGGTTGCAATTATTTTTAAAACCTAAGAATTGTTAAATGGAAGTTGTCTGCATACACTTCATTTTTCTTTTGTAGTGCCATATGTGTCCTATTGTGTAGAGGTTTGGGGTAATGTTTATTGTGGTAGAACTAATACTTTATGTTTAAGCAAGTAATTCATGACATCCTTTAATGACCTAGATTTTCCTGACATGCTGTCCATCTGCAGACAGAATGATTAAAGTCAGAACAAGGTCTGCTAACAACAATAATCATTCTTAGATATCACTTGTGTTTATCTTTGTGTTTTCCATTGACCTTGTATCAAATCTTGCTAAGATGACAGAATGCTGTATATGAGGCCTCTCGAGACAACAGAGTTAGACAGTGAGCAGTGTGGAGAGACAGACAGAGAGGCACAGAGACAGGCCCGGTTCTCTGTGTTTCCTGTTGTTGCAATAAAACTCAGCTGATCATCCCATGAAGTACCTTCATTCTTGAGGAACGTATTTCTGTCTCTGTTGTTAAATAAATATTTCCATAACATTTATAAAACCAATATAGATCCAATAGTTGAACTTCAAAAAAGAGTAATTAGATAAATAAATAATGCTGGTTTTTTTTTATTCCACAAACCTACTATCGTGGAAATCTTTATTTTACCTAGGCAAAAACACAAGATCCAAGACTAAAAAGTTCTCCGTGAAAATGGTGCAAATTGCAAGACACCTATCATGTCACACAGGGCAGTGGTACAGAATGTGTGCCCCGAGGCCGTCTCAGATACAGCACGTGTTATCCAAACAGACAAAACTGGGCCAAGGAAAGAATGATGTTTGATAAACAGCAACAAGAATGATTACTTCTAAACAGATATTGTCCTGATCTTGAAACACTTTGTCCGAGAGAAAACAAGATAAAGAGTAAAATCATAAAACATGATGACATTTTACAGTAAGCAAAAGAGGTCACGGACACTTGGCCTGAGAAGAAATGCAGGACTTTAAAGGACATTTTATTTTTCAAAGACACCCACTATACTTAAAGTCTTCTGCTGTAAAATTTAGTGATATAGTGCATTTAAGAACACTGCGAGTTACTATATCAAGTAAGAATAAATAGTCTTCCTGATGGTATTCAAAGATTTTTTTAAGTTACAAGAAAATAATTGTAATTCAAAAGTACATAAAGTATGAACAAATATCAAATGCAGATGTGTTTCAGTATTGGGTGTTAAATTGTGGAATAATTTAAGTGATGAAACCAAGTTTAGTGACTCTCTTTTCAGTTTCAAAATGAAGTTAAAAAGTAAATTATGTTATGGTTTATGATGGTGGTGGTAATATATTACATTTTTTTGCATGTACGGACAATAATAATGATATTAACAATGATATTATTGATTAAAAAAACTAATGATTTGCATATAACCAGGATGTAATTGAAGTATATATATATGTGTGTGTGTGTGTGTGTGTGTGTGTGTGTGTGTGTGTGTGTGTGTGTGTGT